CCCCAAAACCCCAAAACCCCAAAACCCCAAAACCCCAAAACCCCAAGTTGGAAGTTTTATTGAATTTGAATGTAATACTTAGTTGGGTCTGTGGTTCTCCTTGTCAGTGTCAAAAAGAGGGCTGGATGAGGATTTTGGAGAATTTAAAATGGGCTCTAGGTGACTTTTAGGACTAGGGGGCTCCGGATAAAGGGTATTTGGAGTCGATGACTTTACTACTTTGAGATAATTCTGTTCGGAGATTTTAGGCTTGTACTGTTCGTGGCCATGGTAGTTTGGAAAGGGGGATTTTTGGGGGTGGGGGAGGCTGGGTTTGGAGGGATTGGAAGGGAGAAGGAAGGGGAAGATTTTGGATGAGGATGAGGGGTTACCCTTCACGCTCATAATTCGCCAGAGATGAAGAAGGATTGTACCCCACCCTCTGTGTGTTCTGAAAGTCTTTACAATCCAGAGTAAACTCTACCCCATTCTCAGGCTCTGATCCATGAGAAATTGTGGAGTAGTCATTCTTAGGAGGCTTGTTTGATTTAGTGTGAATTTTTAGAATCTCAAGATCTGATTTAAAACTACTTCATCAGTACCCTTCTTGGGACACAGAATTTGCAATCTCGTTGTATGGTTGTCTATAGGGTTAAGAGAGAGGGTACCTTTGGTCAAGAGAGAGAGAATGATCGTTTTTGAGTAACACGTCTATTTTTCCTTCTATTTTAGTCTTCCACGCGTTTATCTGGACGGTTTAGAGTAAACCATACCTTTTCTTCTATTTTAGATTTGAATTTGCTGATATCATCCAGACTCTTGAAATTATTGTCATTGAGGTTGAAACTATCTAGTGTCTCTTCGATCTGGTGAATCCTCATATCAAAATTCTCTTTTAGATCATGGAAGGATTTCTCAACTTCTTCAATCCGTGACTGGTCTACCTCCTGTTTGAAATCTAAAATTCAGCAGGTAATCATACCTTGTCTTTTAGTATTCTCACCCGAATTCGGTTGTAGTTGGGTGAAACTAGTCCTGGATTCATGGTTATCAGTCACACTGACATTATTCTCAAGATATTCATGGACCAAGCTGATCATTTTTGTCATATTATCCAGTCTTTGGTCGTGCTCTTCGTATTTTCATTCAAATTTTTCTAAAGTTTAGTAAGAAATTACTATTAAGTTCGTTCTGTCCTTTATTGATTTGTAGAATGTGTCCTTTCATCTTGCTCATGTTGTCTTCTGTCTTCTTTTGAAGATCATCAAGTTTGTTCTCAACCTTGAAGACTTGCTGTACAGCGCTGATAGAGATTTTTTGTATGTTCTTTTCAAGAACTTTGGTATGACTAAATTTGGGCTTGCTCTTAGATTTCCTCGATCAAGAAGCCTTCCTAGAAGGCCCCTTCTGAGTAAACTTCTTCGATTTCACAATACCGTTCATGACTGTGGGATTATTTAAAAATTCAAATTTTTAAAGATTTTGGGGTTTTGGGGTTTTGGGGTTTTGGGGTTTTGGGG